AAGGCTATTTGGGCACCTCTGTGGGGTTTCTTTTTGACCTGTTTGGGCGCTTGCCTGCGACCTGTTTGGGCGCGAGCCTGTGTGCGGGATGACCTTGGGCTGGACTCCTTTTCGATTTCTGGCTTCTTTTTGGCTTGTTTGGGTGCCAGGGCTGTTTGGGCGGCGGGTTTGCTAAAGGCCGTGATAGGGCTGTTTGGATACCTGTGTAGGGTTTCTTTTTGATCTGTTTGGGTGCCGGGCTGTTTGGGCGGCGGGTTTGCTAAAAGCCGTGACAGGGCTGTTTGGGTACCTGTGTAGGGTTTCTTTTTGATCTGTTTGGGTTGCTTGCGAGCGGGGAGAGGCCGTGGAAGGGTTTCTTTCCTTTTGACCTGTTTGGGCGCTAGCCTAGTCTATCCACTTGCGGCGTGGCAAGGCTATTTGGGCACCGCTGTGGGGTTTCTTTTTGACCTGTTTTGGGTGCCAGGACTGTTTTGCGAAAGGCCGTGACAGGGCTGTTTGGGCACCTGTATAGGGTTTCTTTTTGACCTGTTTGGGTTGCCTGCGAGCGGGGAGAGGCCGTGGAAGGGTTTCCTTTTGACCTGTTTGGGCGCTAGCCTAGTCTATCCACTTGCGGCGTGGCAAGGCTATTTGGGCACCGCTGTGGGGTTTCTTTTTGACCTGTTTTGGGTGCCAGGACTGTTTTGCGAAAGGCCGTGACAGGGCTGTTTGGGCACCTGTATAGGGTTTCTTTTTGACCTGTTTGGGTTGCCTGCGAGCGGGGAGAGGCCGTGGAAGGGTTTCCTTTTGACCTGTTTGGGCGCTAGCCTAGTCTATCCACTTGCGGCGTGGCAAGGCTATTTGGGCACCGCTGTGGGGTTTCTTTTTGACCTGTTTTGGGTGCCAGGACTGTTTTGCGAAAGGCCGTGACAGGGCTGTTTGGGCACCTGTATAGGGTTTCTTTTTGACCTGTTTGGGTTGCCTGCGAGCGGGGAGAGGCCGTGGAAGGGTTTCCTTTTGACCTGTTTGGGCGCTAGCCTAGTCTATCCACTTGCGGCGTGGCAAGGCTATTTGGGCACCGCTGTGGGGTTTCTTTTTGACCTGTTTTGGGTGCCAGGACTGTTTTGCGAAAGGCCGTGACAGGGCTGTTTGGGCACCTGTATAGGGTTTCTTTTTGACCTGTTTGGGTTGCCTGCGAGCGGGGAGAGGCCGTGGAAGGGTTTCCTTTTGACCTGTTTGGGCGCTAGCCTAGTCTATCCACTTGCGGCGTGGCAAGGCTATTTGGGCACCGCTGTGGGGTTTCTTTTTGACCTGTTTTGGGTGCCAGGACTGTTTTGCGAAAGGCCGTGACAGGGCTGTTTGGGCACCTGTATAGGGTTTCTTTTTGACCTGTTTGGGTTGCCTGCGAGCGGGGAGAGGCCGTGGAAGGGTTTCCTTTTGACCTGTTTGGGCGCTAGCCTAGTCTATCCACTTGCGGCGTGGCAAGGCTATTTGGGCACCGCTGTGGGGTTTCTTTTTGACCTGTTTTGGGTGCCAGGACTGTTTTGCGAAAGGCCGTGACAGGGCTGTTTGGGCACCTGTATAGGGTTTCTTTTTGACCTGTTTGGGTTGCCTGCGAGCGGGGAGAGGCCGTGGAAGGGTTTCCTTTTGACCTGTTTGGGCGCTAGCCTAGTCTATCCACTTGCGGCGTGGCAAGGCTATTTGGGCACCGCTGTGGGGTTTCTTTTTGACCTGTTTTGGGTGCCAGGACTGTTTTGCGAAAGGCCGTGACAGGGCTGTTTGGGCACCTGTATAGGGTTTCTTTTTGACCTGTTTGGGTTGCCTGCGAGCGGGGAGAGGCCGTGGAAGGGTTTCCTTTTGACCTGTTTGGGCGCTAGCCTAGTCTATCCACTTGCGGCGTGGCAAGGCTATTTGGGCACCGCTGTGGGGTTTCTTTTTGACCTGTTTTGGGTGCCAGGACTGTTTTGCGAAAGGCCGTGACAGGGCTGTTTGGGCACCTGTATAGGGTTTCTTTTTGACCTGTTTGGGTTGCCTGCGAGCGGGGAGAGGCCGTGGAAGGGTTTCCTTTTGACCTGTTTGGGCGCTAGCCTAGTCTATCCACTTGCGGCGTGGCAAGGCTATTTGGGCACCGCTGTGGGGTTTCTTTTTGACCTGTTTTGGGTGCCAGGACTGTTTTGCGAAAGGCCGTGACAGGGCTGTTTGGGCACCTGTATAGGGTTTCTTTTTGACCTGTTTGGGTTGCCTGCGAGCGGGGAGAGGCCGTGGAAGGGTTTCCTTTTGACCTGTTTGGGCGCTAGCCTAGTCTATCCACTTGCGGCGTGGCAAGGCTATTTGGGCACCTCTGTGGGGTTTCTTTTTGACCTGTTTTGGGTGCCAGGATTGTTTTGCGAAAGGCCGTGGCAGGGCAGTTTGGGCACCTGTGTAGGGTTGCTTTTTGAGCTGTTTGGGTGCTTGCCTGCGAGTGGGGAGAGGCCGTGGAAGGGTTTCCTTTTGACCATAGATGGCGCTAGCCTGCGTGCGGGAGGCCCTTGAGCTAGACTCCTTTTCGATTTCTTTGTTTGGGCGCTAGGCTTTTTTGGCCGCGGGTTTGCGAAAGGCCGTGACAGGGCTGTTTGGGCACCTGTCACTGTGTAGGGTTTCCTTTTGGCCTGTTTGGGTGCTAGACTGCGCGCGGGGAGCGCTTGGGCCGGACTTTTCTTTTTTTTGGGGTGTTCGTTTTGATCTGTTTGGGCGCTAGCCGCTAAGCTTTTTGGGCGACCGGAACCTGTGTAGGTTGTTCACGAAACAGCTTTGCTGTGAGGGGTCCTCAATTCCCTGGGGCCAAGATGCTTCCCACCCTTTGTCTCCCCTTGTCTCCCATGGCGTGTCTGGATGCTGGGCTGAGATGATTTTGTTTTGTTTCCCTTTGTCTCCCTTTGCTTCCCTTGTCTCCCATGGTGTGTCTGGATGCTCGGATGCTGGGCTGATTTGTCTCCCTTCGTCTCCCCTTGTCTCCATGCCGTGTCTGGATGCTGGCGTGGGTTCGCTTTGCTTTGTTTCTCCTTGTCTCCCCTTGTCTCCCATGGCGTGCCTGGACGCTGGGCTGAGATGATTTTGCTTTGTCTCCCTTCCCGTGGCATGTCTGGAGGCTGGGCTGAGATGATTTTGCTTTGTCTCCCTTCGTCTCCCATGGCGTGTCTGGATCCTGGGGTGGGATCGCTTTGCTTTGTCTCTCCTTGTCCCCATGGCGTGTCTGGACGCTGGGCTGAGATGATTTGTCTCCCCTTGTCTCCCACGGCGTGTCTGGAGGCTGGGCTGAGATGATTTTGCTTTGTTTCCCTTTGTTTCTCTTTGCTTCCCTTGTCTCCCATGGTGTCTGGATGCTCGGATGCTGGGCTGAGATGATTTTGCTTTGTCTCCCTTTGTCTCCCATGGCATGTCGAGATGACTTTGCCTTGTCTCCCCTTGTCACGTTTCGGGTTCCAAGCGGGATTGCGAAAGGTTGAGACAGGGCGGTTTGGGCACCTGTGTAGGGTTGCTTTTTGACCTGTTTGGGCGCTTGCCTGCGAGTGGGGAGGCCGTGGAAGGGGTTCCTTTTGATCTGTTTGGGTGCTAGCCTGTGCGCGGGAAGCCCTAGGCAAACTTGTCGAAACAGCGCAGTGCAAAATAATACCTGCGCCCCAAACCATGTCAATAAAGAACCTTAGGAGGCACGGCCCCAAATGACCGGGTCCGTTTGAAACTTGGCACCTCAACAGGCCAAAAAGGAACCTTGGGAAGCACTGCTTCCAAATCTACCAGGTCCGATTGAAACCCTGAGTCGAAACAGCGCCCAAACAGGGCAAAAAAGAACCTTGCGTCCCAAACCATGTCAATAAAGAACCTTGGGAGGCACGGCCCCACATGTACCGGGTCCGTTTGAAACCGTGGCGCCTCAAAACAGGTCGAAAATGAACCTTGGGAGGCACTGCCCCCAAATTTACCAGGTCCGTTTGAAACACTGACGCAAACTTGTCGAAGCAGCACCTAAAACAGTGCAAAAAAGAACCTTGCGCCCCAAACCATGTTAACAAGAACCTTGGGAGGCACGGCCCCCAAATTTACCGGGTCCGTTTGAAACCTTGGCACCTCAAAACAGGTCAAAAAAAGAACCTTGGGAGGCGTTGCCCCCAAATCTACCAGGTCCGTTTGAAACCCTGAGTCGCAATAGCGCCCGAAACAGTTCAAAAAAAAACCATGCGCCCCAAACCATGTCAATACAGAACCTTGGGAGGTACGGCCCCACATGTACCGGGTCCGTTTGAAACCTTGGCACCTCAAAACAGGTCAAAAAGGAACCTTGGGAGGCACTGCTCCCAAATCTACCAGGTCCGTTTGAAACCCTGAGGCAAACGTGTCGAAACAGCGCCCAAAACAGGGCAAAAAAAACCAAGCCCCTGTTTATTGGACTGCTGTCCCATCCTTTTTTGTTGCTGCTGCAACACCACGTCGAAGACGCTCCGCCGCCGCAGGATGCTCAGGCGGAGGTGGCCCGGATGAAGCGGCGCACCACCATCAAGGGCACACTGGAGCGGGGGGTTTGGCGGGGAGCGCGGCTGGGATAGATGGTGCAGCGGCTGGCTGGGTGGCTGGTTGGCTGGCTGGTTGGTTGGGTGGGTGGGTTGTAAACACCCAAAGAAACTACATACGCTACATAGAACATCATAGAACCACATCGACCCGAGAGTTGATGCGCAGAAAGACTGCCTTCATTGGCCAACCACTCATAGGAAACCCAAGCTTGGTCGAGTCAAGTGGGGAAATGCTGTGACTGTGACCCTTCAACGAAGAGGTGAACTGGTTTAAATCATCTATACATCATCTATATACTTATCTTGGAGATCTCTGTTCTTTTCTCAACATCCAAATCCAGGTGAGACTCTATTCAGGACAGGTGCAGAGATAACTTCTAGAAGTTCGATGAAGCTCTGACAAGCAGTCAAGTTTTGATTCTCTGACTACCACCAAGATGTGATTCAAGCTTGAACAGAGTGACAGCGGTTCAACTACTGACTACTGTATGTTCAATATAGATCGCACTAGATCGGATCAACTAAACCAGATCTATAGAACTCAGAGAAAAACGCCTCAACAGATGATTTTTCAACTAAGGTCAATTCTTGTCTTCCACTTCCGTTCGATTCGAAACCCACACCGTGGAAAACACTGTCCGACTCGCCGATTTGCTCGAGGACCTCTCTGGCTTGGTGGAGCACGAGTAGCGCAAACTGGAGCCGCGTCGTAGTGCCATTGGGGCCAGAGCATCCAATCCGGTCGAACACCCGAAGAAAGATCCGAGAGAGCCGTGTTTGGACACGTGAAAGGTCGCGTTTGTTTGAGGTCCAAGAAAGTGTTCTTGCGTCATGACTTAGAAATGTCAATCCTAGCAGAGAAGCTTTGCTCACTGCGAGCGATCCCGGCGCCACAGTTTGAAGGACTGGCGCCGGTGCCTCCAGGGGTGGCGAGAGTAAGATCAGGAGTTTGCAGTTCTAATGAAGTCCTCCATGTGCGCAATAGTATTCACGGGGAAGATCATTGGCATGATTAGTAGAATTATAGTTTGGTTGACCATAAACGAGTGACAATCAAATGTAACTAGTCTATGATTCAGACTCAAACAGAAAATTCCTGCACCAGAGATACAGGAGAGCCCCCCCCATGGAGGACGGCAGACATCTCCTTTTCCCAGTGTATTCAGTGCATGAGCCATGTATAGACATGCATAGCCTAGCAATTATCTCTTGTGGTCCTCCAATGTGATTATACAATGTAATTGCCCCCAGGGACTGTTTTGGTTGGACCTTTTGGTTTTGAAGAGCACTCTTTGGTCTTGCAACACAGGTGCAAGACCAGAAAAACAAAAACCACTGCAGAAATCATGTTGCACGCCTTCTTCGATTCAGCTTTGTTTCTCTTGCCAGCCTTGGAGTGGTTAGTGCACCGCTCATGGGTGGAAGAAGTGGGAAAAAACCAGCGACGGGATCGTTGTACTGCCCGATCGTTGGGCAGGCAAGCGACTTCAATCAAGCACAAAAACACCAACGAACTCGGTCTTTTTTCCCACACATGGGATTCCATCATTGGGGGCCTGGGCCAGGGCCTTGTAAAGCAAGAATCTTGTGCCCGGGGGGCAGCAAGGAGGAGGATGGCGCAGTGCGCAGCACGCGGTGCCGTGATGACTGGAACATCCATTCTAGGCCTCAACATGAAAGGATTCATCAGCAATCCTGACGTTTCGATCTTGTCCAGTACTTTGCATTGGATTCTCAGAAGGTTTTGGGTGGGATTGGGTGCTTGGACATACATATTCACCAGTGTTTCACCCTCTGGAATCTCCAGCCATTGGTGGAATACAACTTTCTTCTTATTGCTTATTACTTTGTTTACAACATGTTTGCTTATTTGTTTGTACTTGCAAACCCATTCTATTTGGGTTGCCTTTTTATCCAAGATGGTATACCCAACCACACTCGAAGACACTGGCCTAGCTTCACCATCCTCCTCGCGTTAGTGGTTTGCGCCATTCTGGGGCGGCGAAAGTTCGTCGGTCTGGGCTGAAAAGGAGTTTGAGTTCATAGAGCCACGGTACCTGTGTGGTCAAACATGTCAAGGCTTGCGAGGGAGTCTTAAAACAGTTAACATATACCCATACACTCCATCTATGGAATATATGCCTACATTGACCATCATTGACCCCCGCAAACCACCCCTGGCCTGATCGGCAGTCCTATGGCAGTCCCAAGCAGGTCGCGTCTGGGATAGATATATAGTGGCTTTGGTGTCCTCGATCCCGCCGGGAGAAAAGAACTGAGATCTATCCATGGCACTGAACCTATCTATATGTGCCCAATGTAACACAGCAACGTCGAGTAGGGTGATTCAAACTGGTCCAGTGTCCAGAGACTCTCACGTCCAGGTGCTGGTCAAGTGTTACGTTGCGAAAATCGTCTTGGGTCAATGCAGGATGAACGTATATGAACGTGGAGACACTAGTGGAAACACTCGCTAGACGATGCCCTCTGAGAGTCTGAGCTCCCGGCCCTGCAAGGCACATGGCGGTTTTTCCGCACCGGTGGCACCGGCAGATCTTGCTGATGGGGGGAACCTTTGCTGTGGGGAGATGGGTCATTTAATTACTACCCTAAGAATCCGAGCCCTCAAACAGATAGGGTTTTGAGGGCCCAGACCCCTGCTGTGGAGGGCCGACCCCTGCCATGGAGAGCCCAAGGATTCTTAGGGTAGTATACTAATACTTGTATCGTTGGATCTGGTGTCAAGACAAAGGAGCGAGGATCTCTAGACTCTAGAATCATCTAGAATCCTTTGGCTTTCCATTTGGTTCCAGTTGGTATGTTCATGATTCTTCATGTATATCCCTAGGGATCCAAGTACCTTCTCAGAAGGTGAGTAGAGAGACTGTTATGTGGGTTTGGAGGATCCAAGTAACGGGGTCGGGACTGGTCCTCACTCCAGTCGTTTTCACAGACTGTCACAGACTCGTTTCACGCTCCTGGCATCCGGTCTGTGCATGGATGTCTGTCAGCAAGGGAGGTCGAAGCGCGATGGATCATTTTGGTTGGATATGGCACACAATACAGTCATTTTGGTTGGATATTGCTTGGTCACAATCAGCATGAGATTGTC